ATTCCGGGAACCCAAGAGGCAAGCGAATTTTGGGAATAATGAGGGCAACAAATGTATAGATGTGTTTTATACAATTGATCTATGTATTGTGATGAATTGTATGAGCCCCAATAAATTGATTTAAAAAAAAAAGAAGAAGAAGAAGAGAGTCTAAATTCCCAGTAATCTATAGCACACAGCCTGGCTCATCAAGGATTCATAGAAACTAGGTCAACGGTGCTCAATTAGGAACCTAGCATTGTTAAGCTTTCTTTCCCAGTGGGAGGTTGCTTCTCCTGGTTTACCCACCAACAGAAAAAGATCACTTTACAGTGCAGATCACCAGATCTTTTCTCTTGAGGAGAGGTTGGTGTGCTTGAACTGACAACCTTTGGGTTAGTGGTCACTTTAACCAGTGTGTCCCAGGGCTCCTTTAACCATCCTAAATCCCACCAATTGGTGTTGATGTTGTTGTTGTTGTTAGGTGCTGTCAAATCAGTTCCAAATCACGGAGATTCTAAGTACAACAGGGCACCACCCTCACAGTTAATGTTGTGTTTGAGCCTAAGATTGCAGCTCCGGTGCTGAGCTATCTTACTGAAGATCGTCCTCGTTTTCACTGACTATTTTACCAACTGTGTTAGTCTGGGAAGACTAGAGAAACAAATTCATACAAAAACTCATATCAATATAGGAAAGAGCTTTATGTACAAGAGCAATTGAATTTTGAGAAAACATCCCAGCCCAGTCCAAATCAAGTCCATAGGTCCAATATTAACCCATATGTCTGATACCAATCTATAAAGTCCTCTTCAAACTCATGAAATACATGCGATGATGCCGAATGCAGGAGAATCACAGGCCAGTGAGTTGGAAGTCTTGTGGATCCAGTGGCGTTGTAAGCATCTCAATGCTGGCTGGGGTCTCCACATGGCTTCTCCATCTCCAAAGGTCTAGTTGCATCAGGGTGGGTCCATGTGGCTTCTCCAGTTCCCAGGATGTAGCGCCATGTGTCTTGTCAGTAGAGCATCTCTCAGGGAGTCAGCAGAGAGAGAGAAGTGTCTCCCGCCTACAAGGAGGAAATTCAGGAATTCCCAGAATTCTTAGGAGGCCAGGCCCACACAGTGGCCTCATTGGCTATGACCCGATTGACAGACTAGGCTCCACCTCTTTACGCATAATCATCTCAAGTCCCAGACTGACACCAGATTATGTAACTACCACACCAACCATGATGTCCTTTTCCAGGGACTGTTCCCTCCTGATAACATGTCCAAAGTATGTGAGATGACAAAGACACAAGGAAACAATGAGGCCCAAGGAGGACCACATGAATCTCAGCCTCAACAGCCCTGATTAGAAGAACCGGATAGTGCCTGGCTCATACACATAGCATGGGTGATGTACATGCACAGAGCCTGGCAGCCAGATAAACACACAAGTCATCCCTCCAGGGTACCTGATGACCTTTCGAAAAATGTAAAATTTCTCTTTAATAAAACTGATTCAAGTCACCAGGCTGCTCTGTTCTCATCGATCTGAGGAATGTATGTCATAAACAAAAGCGGAACATTTAAAAACAATCAAAAGAAAAGACATTCTCTGGGGCTGTGTTTCTGGGCCTGCGTTCTTAAGAAACAGAGAAGACTCACGTGTAGATTCAGATTGGAAGGATCTTATAAGAAAGCAAGATTCCCCCCAAAGTTGAAGGGCAGATCGGATCCCTCCCAGGTGTCAAGGGGACATCCAGGTACTGAGACTACTTCACATCCCCTCAGGTAAGCACTGCCTAGTCTGTGAGAACGTCCCCTCCACAATAGCTCTACTTCTTTTGTGCTTTGATTGCTCTAAGGGATGTGATGCTTTTCTGTACCCCACAATGCTCTTTGGGTCCTATTTTAGACTGAGTTCTCTAGAGGAGCAAAACCAATGAAATATATAGATAGAGAGATTGATTGAGTGATTGATTGATCTACTTCATGGAAATGGCTCACACAACTGTGAGGGCTAGAAAGGCCCAAATGCATGGGTCAGGCAGCAGACTGAATACTTCACCTGACTCACGTACATATGTTCAGGAATGGACAAATCCAAAAGTTGTAGGTCAGGTAGCATTCTGCTAGCTCACGGGGTTATGAGAGCTAGTAACTCCAAAATCTGTAAGCCAAGTACCTGGCTGAAAGCTTGTTCAAGAACTGGAAGCCAGAGTACAAGTGCAGGATTGAGAGAGAGCGAGAGAACACAAACTTTGCCAGAACATTCTCATGTATACATATTGGATGCAGGCCACACTTCTAAGAGAATGCTCCTTCCAAATGATGAGCGCTCACATCATATGACAAAATGGAGTATTACATCTGAGCAACCACTGAGAAGCATGTCTTAGCCAAGTTGACACAAAATATGAACCATCATATTCCCCATTCTCTGTGTATATTCCTGTGTGTATCCATTTTAGGATTTCATAATGCCCAAAAGGGAATTCTAGACTCTGGATGCCAAATGGGGTAGAGGGATGAGAAATAGGAAAGCCCCTGTTTGGGGTGAGCTGAGCTGACAAAGCTTAAGAGAATCCCCCAAATACTCCTTTTTCCATTCACCCCCGTCAGCTTTATCAATCTAAACAAGTGCCGGGAGGCACTTCCCTCTCTAGCACACAAGTAAGCTCTGCAGCTAACTCCTAGGAGGAAATCTCATTTAAAAGATGTGCACATTTCTAAGCCCTACACAGTGGCAGCCTCTTCCACTTCTGATGGACCAGGAACTCTCAACTCAGTCTTGTGCTTATATGGGTACAGATGCACACAATCTTTTTAATATTTGTTTCAAATTTGTTATTTTATTTACTTCCAGAGACTCCCCTGTTTTAGCCATGTAAGCATACAAATAATCAGCTGTATCCGTGAATCCAAAACAAACCATTAAGGCTACACGTGAATCCCCCTATAACACTGTCTTCAGAATTGAGGGGGGGTTTGTTGTTGGGTTTGTTTGTTTGTTTGTTTGTTTTTGGTGGGTGCACATAGCAATTGGAGATTGTCAGTACTGAAGCTTGAAATACTGAAATGTCCTTCATTTCAAGAAACCTGCATTGTTTATTGCTCTTAGGCTGGTTGATTCAATCTTGATCGATGTTTAATGCAACCTAGAAGCAAAATAGACAGGAAGCAGGTTTTAATATAATTTGAACTGTGTGAAATGTCCACACTTAAATAAGAATTTCGGTAGTGTCTGTGTGGTTGCTTATCATTCTCGAGGTGGGTGTTACCCCACCCTGTCTTCTCTTGCCCTCTTATTCTTTCTCGTCCGTCTGCGTGGGGTTTTTCCTTCTGTAGAACCAAATGCTAAGGTTTTTAATGGCTCAGTCTTTCTCGTTCACACGCGGCCTTCTCAGGTTCCTCACTCACTCCTGCAGCCTCACTGACCAGAGACACCGGTGTCTGCTTGATTTATTTCTCCTGCCTGACTTCTGGATGGCCCCCCGCCCAGCCCCATCATCCAGTGGCCTCCAGATACTTTCATCGGGAAACTCCATCTCCTGAAACTCAGCACCCACAACCGAAAGCCCTACTTTAAGAACCCTGCTTCCTCACGTGTTCGTTCCTAACCTAGCGCCAGAACAAACGCAGCAGACCTTTCATGGAAAGGTCTCCAGTGATGACTTGCAGAATCCTTCCCCCTTCACCTCCTGAAGAGCGTTTGACAACACCATACATGTCCTGCCATCGATGACTCCTCCTCCCTCTAGATGACTCCCTCCGCACACTTCTCCATTCTCTTCTCCCCACACGTAGCCACCGCGGTCTTTCCTGAATGCAGTTCTGATCATATTTGGCCCCTCTGTCTTTAGGGCAAAAGCTACGTTTCTGAGCAGGAATTGAAAGTCTTTTCACGGTTTGACCCTGCTCCCCACTGCCTCACCACACATCCCCCGCCCTCCCACCCACCCCCACTCCTACATTCTCTCCGACCTGAGCCTGCATCCTTTTTGTGCTCTGAGTAGCAAACACCTAACTTTCTTTAGGAATCATGGACTGGCTGGCCTATTTCATGAGTGCACTGATTAAAGGGATCCAAGGCTCCCTAGGCCAGGGCAGACATGATATACAGTATACACCTGCCAATCTGCTTCCTTATAAATAGCTCTTCCATTCACTCTCAAAGGCATCCTAGTTAAACAATAAATTACCTACATCTAACTATTGTCCAATTGTCTGGTTCTCCCCTTAGACCAGTGGTTCTCAACCTAATGCCGCGACTCTTTCATACAGTTCCTCGTGTGGTGGTGACCCCCCCAACCATAAAATTATTTTCATTGCTACTTCATCACTGTCATTTTGCTACTGTTATGAATCGGGCGACCCTTGTGAAAGGGTCGTTTGACCCCCCAAAGGGGTTTCGACCCACAAGTTGAAAACTGCTCCCTTAGATCGTACATTCCACGAGGTCAAAACGATCTGTTTTATTCACAACAGCATCGGGAAGAGTACCTGGCACTGAGAAGACCCTGTATTTTTCTTAAATAAATAAATATACTGTAAAATATACACTCTAATTAGCATATTTAGTTGGTTCCAGGATTTGGTACTAAAAGCCAAAGTGATGGCCCAAAAGATTATGTATTGAGCCAAATTATTTTAAGTATATATTGTTGAAGATATTTTGAGATTTTCAAGTTTAACTTGAAAGACATAGATATATACTTAAGTTACATGAAGCTAATACTTATTTGCTATGTAGTCCAGATTTTAAAAATCTGATTTTTAGGAAATGTTTTCCTAAAGTTACTCACATCAGATAGCATTGGCTCATCCAGTTCTTCCACTCGGCTCAAGTTAGGTGCACCATACCGATCACTAATTTCAGCTAGGGTTTTGCCTGAGTCTGTTATTGCTTCCTATAACCACAAAGTTAATTTTTACTTTTAAATAACTCCAAAATCAATCCATTATATTCCTTTTGATTTTGATAAGAGCCTTCTGAATCACAATATCAAATACAACATTATTCATAGAATGAACGGATGCCTATTAATGAAAAGAGAATTCTAAGAATAAACATTAACTCTAAAAAGGAAATTTGGAAATTTAAAAATATATATACAATTCTGTGGTCTTAGAGAATTATGGTTTTAAAAACACAGCAATAAATATATAATTTTATCCACTTTGAGATGTTACTGGTGTCCTATTATTTATGGAATGTGTAAGGATATGTTGACCATCAGTTTTTTTTATACTATTCTTATTAAAAATTTATCTATTAATGCACCAAAATGCACCTTTAATTCCCAAGATAACTGTTTTGCCTAACACAGAAAAACTATCTTCTCACCTCTAAATGTAAAGTCTCTTCAGTCTTAACCATATTCATTATCATTTCCTGTAATATATAAAAATGAAGTAAATAATTTTGTCCCACATTTAATGCACAGGCACTGGTATTTTTATTTTTATATAGCCAATTTAAGAGCAGCAAATGCTATCTTTCTAAAAAAAAAAAAGAAAGAAAATGCTATCTTTCTTCAGGAGTAATTAGAATACACTTAATACAAAATTATAACCTCCAACTACCATATAATATTCTATCCTAAGAAAAGATGGCCATATTTCTGTCGGATAAGCATCTGGATTCTAGCCATGTTAGAATCAGTTAAGTGAGAAAATTCTTCTTGTTCTAATGGAATGATTCTTGTCAGTAGTAATTGGCAATTTTTAATGATAACTAAAATATCCATTTTAGAGATTAATTTGCTACATACTCTTCATATTCTCATCTAGTGAAAATAATTTTTTTTAATCCTTATAATTTATTTTGTCTTCTTTCTGTGTTTCAGACATATTTTACCTATACACAAAGTGGATAATATATTCTAACATTTAGCACACTTGCTAGCTGCTATTTATCAGATAAATGTACCCAAATCTCTCTCTCAGTGAATGGATAGAAGATATATAAACGTTAATTTGCATCAGCAACCTGTAAGAAAAGTTCCTATGAGGGAGAGCCACTTGTCTTATTCAGTTGAGAAAATGCTTTGATAAGCCTGTTTGGAATGGGAGAGAAGCTATGTTGAGGAAGAAGGGGGGTCCAAGCAGGGAAAAGTATCCAAGGGGAAGTATTCTAGGGAAATACTCAGAACTATGGAATTGAATACCTCTGAAGAAAAATATTCAGCAAAAAACATAAGAATATTAAAATGCTTGGTAAGTGTACCAGGCTCTCGAGGGCACCCCGTCCCTCCCCAGGTTTGGAGAACTCATAAAAGTAAGCATATCATTAAACCCACCGCTATGATTTGTTACCGTGAAAGCAGGCAAAACCCCCAAAGATCAAAGTCACTGCCATTGAATTGATGCTCAAACCCCCTCACTGCCATTGAGTTGATGCTCAAACCCCCTCACTACCACTGAGTTGATGCTGGCTCAGAGTGAGGCTATAGGACAAGGTCGAGTGTCCCTATGAGTGTCTGAGACTGTGACTGGAGTGGTTGGTGGTTTTGAACTGCTGACCTTAAGGTTAGTAGCCCAACGTGTAACCAGGACGCCACCATGGCTCCTTGAAAGCAGACAAGACGTGGGAAAAGGGAAAGGGCAAAGACACAAGGGGCAAAAAGTACAGAAGAAAACAGGAGCAAGATCTAGGATCCTCTCCTAGAGGGGTCGCATCCAAAGAATCCAACTCACTGTCACAGAGTCCATTAGGATTCGATACATCCCCCTACCTTTTTTAATTTGCTTGACACATATCATATGAAATAGGCAGTTGAAAGTGTAACTTAAAAGTCATCAAGAGGTTTGTTCTGTCTGACATATAATGTTTTTGCATACCCGTAAATACGGTTTTACTTGAAGTGTGACATTATACAGACAGTCAAAAGAAATGTAATTTTTTTAAATGAGTTATTTCATAGTTAATTTTCATGAAAGTCCATACAAAACACATTTTAAAGTATAAATTATATTTTTTTACATCTAACATTAAACAGAGACATTCCTGTTTAGAGACCAGGACATAAATATTACAAAGGAATGAATCAGTAACACCAGTTATCAAAATTAGGGACAACCACACTGGATTAAAATGTTCACAATATCACTAGTAGACAACTGTACTTCACACAAGGCAGCTTTACATATGCCCTTACTTGACCCTTACAACAACCAGAGAGATATGGCTGATAACATATTGCTATCCTTACTTTTCAAACAAGTAAACTGAGACTGAGAAAGGTCTGCTTAAATCACACCGCTCAATTACGTGGCAGGTCCTTAGAGCTGAACGTAAAATTTCAAAAAACAGCTCAAAAGCAAGCAAAGCAAAGCATTATCATAAGGTGTGCAAAGTTTGATTGCTCCGCTATTCCAGTTGGGAGAAGCAACCTAAGAGAATTAAAAAGTTTTCAATAAAACAATTATTTCTAAACTTCAAAATTACCTCCTCCACTCCCTCTTGAGCTCGCTGCATTTCTTCCATTCTCTGTCTCTCCTTTTCTTGCATTTCCAACTCCAGCTGTAACTCCAGTTGTTGCTAAATATTAGAGACATATTTTTATTAGTCAGCAGAAATCAAAGGACTTGACTCACTTGAGGTGTTCCAAGATACTTAAATTTATGTCATCATTGTTGGATGCTATGGAGTCATTCATGCCTCACAGCAAGCCCACGTGACCAATGGTTTTCATGCTATAATTGTTATAGAAATAGACCACCAGGTATTTCTCCCGCAAACCCAAGGAGTAAGTCCCAAACGCCTTTCAGTTAGCCAAGTGCTTAATCGTGTACAACAATAGGACGTACCCACCCATGGCAATTGAGTCAATTCCAACTCACAACTGGCCCTGTAGGAAAAAGCAGAACTGCTCCCTAGGATTTCTGAGACTGTAAAACTTTGTGAGCGGGACAGCTTCATCTTTCTCCCAAGGAGCCTGCTGGGTATTAACCATCAACCTGGTGCTTAGCAGCAATGCCTAAACCACGGCACCAGCAGGACGTGCACCAGGGCTTCTAGCCACCTAAAATTCACAATGGTAGGAAAAGAAATGGTCACAGAGCCTTGGTAGTTAAACTTCTACCAATATTTCCTGAAATATAAAACGAAAGCTTCCCTAATTGCTAATTGTAAAAATGTACTATTTGTAGGAAATCGAGTCATCTTCTGTACTTCTAGAAATTCCAAAGGAAATAGCACTAGTTTCTTCCAATAAACTCTCAAAAAAAAAAATCTCTCTCTCTCTCTCTCTCTCTTTTTTAAATTTAGCCTTAGATGGTGTTTACCACCCGCTTTGGGCTGCATTCCCAAGCAACTCAACTTTAGGAAGACCCGGGACCGGCTGTCCCACGGGCTGGGCCTCCATCAGAAGGGCTTGTGGCCCCTACAAGCGACACCAGGGAGTGGGTCTTCCATATGCCACATTTCCCACACCCCACCACGGGCCGGAGATTCGGCACTGGGCTCTAAAATCTCTTTTAAAAGTTATCATAGATCTTCATATAGCCAAACCTTGGTAACATAGCAATGTGTGAGAAAAATCTTACATTTATCACCAAAAGCAAATGTAATAAAAAATATATTTCGTTCTAACAAAATACATATGACTAGTTGCATAAATACAGCTGACTAGAAGAGGTCGCTATTTGTACTGATTCCAATAAAATGTGCAACTTAGAGAACAATTTCACTGATATGACATGTAAGTAAAATTTTGCTGATGACCATTCAACAACAGTGGCAGCAGTACGTTGACAGGGAGCTGCCGGAGGTTCAGGCTGGATTCAGAAGAGGGCGTAAAACCAGGGATATCCTTGCTGATGTCAGATGGACCTTGGCTGGAAGCAGAGAAGACCAAAATGATGTTTACTTGTGTTTTATTGACCATGCCAACACATACTAGTGTGTGTGTGCCTTGGGTGGCCTTGAGAAAAAGGAAAGTTCCCTAACACTTATTGTGCACATGCAGAATCTGTACATGGATCAAGAGGCAGTCATGCAAACAGATCAAGCAACACATTGCATTGGGTAAATCTGCTGCCCACAATCTCTTTAAAGTGCTAAAAATCAATGATGTTACTTTGAGGATTAAGGTGTACCCAACCCTAGCCGTGGTATTTTTGATTGCCTCGTATGCATGTGAAAGTTGGACACTGAATAAGGAAGGCCAAAGGAAAGTGGATGCGCAGAGAGGACTGTAGGGCCTTCCCAAGCTCCAGACATGTTGTCCCCTCACTGGCCCACAGTGCTATAGAGGACAACACTGGAGACAGTTCAGGAAGTGTGTCCGGTCTGACCCCTCTCTCTCCCGCCCCTCCCCCACACACAAGTGGGGCAAATTATGAAGGAAGCATAACTGATCAGCAATGGGAGCAAAACCACAAAGTCCCCGAGGAATCCCAAAAATAGACTTCTGACTCGGGGGGAAGTACTTGCACCTCACCTGGCCTTGTTGGGGGACATTCACGAAGGTCAGCAGATAGACCTGGAACTATGTATAGACTTTTTTTTTTAAATCACATGCCTATTTCTATAAGATAAGCAGAATAAACAACTCAGAGGAGAAAACAACAGGACCACTGGTTCCAGAGGAAAGGGGGGTGGGGGACGCTGGGGAGAGGAGGAGGTGAGTGGGGAGGAAGCCGTGAGTCAACACATTCTGAGACAGGGAAACATCAAGGGATCTAAAATCGATGGTGAGGAATACTCAAGGGGCTCAAGTAGAAAGAAGTATTTTGAAAATGATGATGGCAGCATCTGCACAAGTTCGCTTGAGGTAATTGATTTATGGATTTTTATAATCTCTGTAAGAGCCCCCAATAAAATGATCAATAATAATGTCTTAAAACTTACATACCAGCAGATGCCTACACTATCCCTTCCACTCCCCTTGCTCCCTGGTATAATCAAAGATGTGCCCTTCTGCCAGCTAGTCTATGCTCTAGATCCCCTATCCTCTTGTATACATGTAAACATGACTACATGAACCATACCCTCTAAAATCAGCCACCTATCTCTACCATCCTCCTTAACAAACAAAACCAAACCCTCCTTCCAAAGAAATCTTCACACGTGTATTCCTTACACAACCACCTTCCCTGCTTTCCCTCACTCTGGGCCCGAGACCACCAGCGACCCTAGGTGAACTCTATCCAGTCATGTTCTCACTTGACCATCAATAGATAGGTTGACAACTCAGACCTCACGTGCACTCTTTTTCCCCTTGGCTCCCTGGGGATGCACATGCCAGTGCACTCTCTGGTCAGAAAGGAAACCACACACATACATAAAGGTATAGATAACAAAGAGGCACAGTTTTATGTAAGTAACCAAGGACCTGTAGTAGGTTTTTCAAAGCGTAGGTTATAGCGCACTACAGCTGAAAGCCCTAATTGCAGGATTCCCCGTAAACTCATCTTGCTTGACTTACCTGCTGAAACAGGATTTCCTCCGCTTTGAGCCTCTCCATCATCTCTTGCTCCAAGAGAGCTAATTCTCTTTCATGCTCCAGCTGGGCTTTTTCATTTTCTCGCTAGCATTGTTTAAAAGCAGCATCGCATAATTAATTAGAGAAAAAACTATTTGTAAAAGCAATCTTGAAAACACTTAAACCACCAACAATAAAGCCAAAATTAAGCAAATTATACTCTCTTCATTTGGATAATATAAAATACAATTGAATATGATGACAAGTATGTAAAACAATCTACGGCAAAAGTGTAGAAAAAGACTGGATGAAAGTGGATACAAATATAAATAGAGATATTCTTTAGGGATTGTTTGCTTCTTTCATGTTATCCACGGTTTTGCATAATGAACCTATTATTTTTATAATGGAAAATAATACAATTGAACTTTCAAAAAAGCAGACAAGTTGGATGAATGATTCTGCTTTTCTAATTTTCTAAAATGAGAGTCATACTTACTTGTTGTTTCATAGTCATATTTTCCTTATATTTGTAAATCCACAATGCCAAATATTCTATTGGATCTACTGGACGCATTCTTGCCACTTCTGCAAGACCTTGTGTTAGACAAGTCCCAAGTTCTTTTTGAAGATAGCGTGATTCCATTTCTAACTCTTATATATAAATGCCTAAAAAGTAAACGTTTGGCATTAATGCAGGACATTTCCAATTCCATAAGTGTAAAATCCAGTAAGCCAGCAATACATTATACTCTTCCAATGTCTCATATTGACAGTAACTGACACCTACCACAGTCAGAGATATTATAGGCAAATTGGTCCAAGGAAACTTCTAATGGTTCCCAAAAAACTTCTAAAGAAATCATTACAACTAAGATAATTTCAAAATCTTGGTGCACTTTCAGGTCCAAGAGAGGAAAGAAAAGGGGATACTGATTATTATTGCAATTATTTACTTCACTAAGACAATAAGCCAAACAATGTATTGTATTTTCATCCTTGCAGCATATCTGAAAAATGGTTATTATTATCCTCATTGTGCAGATGAGGAAACTCAGACAGAGAGAGCTTAAGGAAACAGTTCAAAATTGAAGAGCTGGCACATGATGAAGTTGAGCTTTGTACCTGCAAAGTGTAGGATTACCTTGCAACTTGTTCTGAATTCATGAGAGCCAAGTCATACCTGTGTTAGGTAGGGTTCTTTAGAGAAATGAAAAACAGGTGGGCACTTAATGTGTATATAAGCGAAACCTTATATAAATAAGGCTTATACAGCAAGAAGGAATATAACAGCTGATTAGTCCACACAGCAGGACAGAGGGCTCAGTTCAACTCACGTAGGCTACTGGGTCCAAGGTCAAGGAAGCAGACGGTAGAGTCTTCCTCAGGCAAGACAGGCAGAGTCTGCCTGCAGGCAGCAGGCAGCATGGTGGGTCAGTAACAGTCAGTACTGTGGGAGCTTAGCAAAGCAGGCCTGATGCGATCTGGAACTCTAGGCATGCACTGGGACAGGATCCACCAGCCTCAAGTGCAAGTGATGTACGCAGCAGCAGGGTGGCGATGCAGGTCTTGAAGGAGCCTCAAGCTCTAGCAACATGGGTTGGCTTGGCCCACAGGTAGTATGGCACACAGGTTGAGGCCGAGAACTATCTAAAGCAGCAGCAAGCTGGTCTGATCATCAGGGAGTGAGAGAGATATGAGATGCTGGCCGTCTTCATTTATCTCAGTCACCCTCTGTATTAGTCTGGGTACTTTAGAGAAACAAATCCACAGCAACTCATATATGAGAGAGTTTTATGTAAAGAAAGTGTGCATCATGAAAACATCCCAACCCAATGCTGCCCAAGCCCACAAGTCCAACATTAACCCATTAACCCAACACCAGTCCACAAAGTCCTCCACCTCACAAAACAGAGGCAATGATGCCGACTGCAGGAGGAAAGCTGAGTCACTGAACAAATAAGCATCTCAGCACTAGCAGGGGTCTCCACACGGCTGCTCCTGCACCCAGGGCTGCATCGGGATAGGTCCCTGTGGCTTCTCTTTGGGGATGTCTTGCAGGAAGTCAATCTTGCAAGCTGAAGCAGGGAACTGCTAAGGCAGCTGCACCCTGGTGCGAGCACCACAAAGCAAGAGACCCGAGAACTAGAAAGGGGAGGCTCACCACCCATTTATCCCTCTGCCTTTCAATTAGCCCCACATGTGATTAGCGGCCAGGTTGGCACAATTAACTAACTTACCCTCCAATCAAGCTTCAACCTAATCAAATTCTGCCCACATGTCCCCATTGGCCTAGTTGGCACAATAAATGTAACTATCCCAATACCTGAGGCTAATGAATGGAGTCTGACCAGATGAAGAGGGACCACCTGATGGTCAGATGTGGACCAAGGTTCCGCATGGTACAATTTATCATGACCATGGAGAGAGACTGATGACCATCCTGAACTAGAAGTACAAATGAGTTTCCTGGTTAGTTATCATGCGTGGGACATGAAAGCTTTGTCCTGTGAGCCTCCTTTCAGACCTTGCCTATGTTTCTTCATTTGTATCTATTTTGGTTGTAATAAATCTGAAACTGTATGTATGGTATACTGCTAGATATTTTGCATCATTCCAGAAAATTAACAAACGTAAAGGGTCAGGGAGAACTAGCAGGTGCTGGCATCTGCATATTTAAAGAACAGCATCAAACTTGGGCAGCTGGTCTGAAGGATGATGCCCATCTAATTTGTTATTGGCAATGAAGATGGAGACGTGGGAAAGTGAGGAATGGATTCATTTCTGCACTTTGTGGAGTAGATTCATGCTGCATACAGTCAGCATCAGAAGTGGAATTTGTCCACTTTGAACCTGGTTTTGTGTAGTGCCAGCTCTTGATTTCAGAACCCTCCCTCTGTGCTGAAATGCGTATCCCAAAGCCACAAGAGCCATTTTTCATTCCTGCTTCCAGGCAGCTCACACAGCACTTGCCGTATCACTTTAGACTTGTGTCTGTTCTCCTATCAGAAAAGAAGTTCCTGTAGCTTTAAGATGGGTGTGTTTTAATCATGGGAAGACTGCCGACTCCTATGATGGTAAGGGCATGCCTGTCTACACTCCACAAGTCAGGATCAGCAAAGAGAAAGGATACGCCCATTGGTCCTCATCAACACCACTCCTCAACCAGCAGCCAAGCCTCTTGCAGGTCCTCAGTCTCTCAGCCATGTGGTCCCTTGACCATTGGCTCCATGGGCTAGGAAGCCAGCCAGCCCGTTATTCTATCTCATAGTTCCGAAGTCTCAGGTCAGATAAGGAGAAGGTACCCCACAGTCTTAGTGCTGCTCCTCTGAGTCTCTGTGCCACAGTCTCTGGTACATGTAGTCTCAGTGACTTCCGCCACTTCAGAGATCTCTGATGTGCTCTTTCAAATGGTCTGTGTTTTCTGTGTCCCCATTGACTCAACAGGACACGTGCACACTGAGGAATGGCTCTGATGAGGATGTAGCTGTCTTTTAGAAGACCATACCACCAAAGAAAACAATGATGGTGTTGTACGTCACTCCCTGTACCAGAGTTTAAAGATGCCTTTCATGGAAACAATAGGTGTAACTCCGTTCACACCCTCTACCAAGGTCAGGACTTAACTCCTCCTTAATCCTCTAAGACCAGAGCCACAGGCATGAAGTCAATAATTAGAATGCACTACATAAAGAATTAGGGTTTAATAAAGAAGGGCCATATTAATGTTCTTCTCTAAATGTATAGATATATAATTAGAGATATATAAGGAAACTTATGTCAAGAAAGTGGCACATACTAGTAGAAGTAGCTAAATCCAGTCTGGTTCAAGTCCATGGGCCAGAGTTTACGCTGGAGGCTTTTCCTGACTCATGCAGCTGCAGAGGCTGACAAATCAGGACGCAGGAAGATGAACTAAGAAGTAGGAAGACCACAGGCTAGTGGAGGTAGAGGTGGATGAATTCAAGGTCAGCAGGTTGAGCTGCAGAATTGAATGAATCCGGTAGGCAATACGGGCCATCGAATGAAGTCCTGAGAATTAGAGGCTGATGCGACAGGTGCAGAATCCAAACTAGCAAGAGAGAAGCATTTCCGTGGAGTCTTCTTAAATAGCAATGGCCCACCCCCCACCACCCCCCACCCCCAAAGAAATCTTCCTTTCACTTGCATCAGGCTGTGATCTGAGTAAGGAGGCCACACTCCTCCTTCATCCTTTCACAACTGCTTTGCTGCCCACAGCAGATTCCATCTTGGAGTTGATGACATTATTCATTCACATAATGGGGGAGTTCCAGGCCCTAAATGGCAAGCCGCTGAGAACCCAACTATCCCACCAAGCATGATGCCCTTCTTGTTCTTCTGGAAGTTCATGGCATATTCAACATTCTTCACCAACACTAGAATTCAAACATGTCAATTCTTCAGTCTTTCTTATTCATTTTCCAACTTTTGCCATGTAGAAGGTAACTGAAAATACCATGGCTTGGGTCAGGCACATCTTGGCCCTTTGTTCTTTAACACTTCAATGAGCTCTTTGGAAGCAGATTTGGCCAATGCAATATTTAATTTTTTTCTTTTTAAAAATAGTTTTATTGGAGGCTTGTACAGCTCTTATAACATTCCATATATCAATTGTATCAAGCATATTTGTACATATGTTGCCATCATTCTTTTCTAAAGATTTATTTTATTCATTTTTAAAAATCATTTTATTAGGGGCTCATACAACTCTTATCACAATCCATACATACATCAATTGTGTAAAGCACATTTGTACATTCATTG